TGATATAAGACCTTCATTAGATAAGGTGAAAACAATTATTGAGGCAGAACGTCCTAAATCTAAAAAGCAATTAAGATCATTCTTAGGAGCTTCTAATTATTACGAGAATTATATTAAGAACTTTTCAGACTGGACTTCTAAACTTCTTCCATTGTTATCTAAGAAACATAAATTTGAATGGAAAGAAGAGCATTCAAAGGCTTTGGAGCAAATCAGGAATAAAATGAAGGAAAATAATTTATCTTTCATTTCCAGAATTAGGAAAACCCTATACTATTTATACTAACGCATCAGATTATGCCATAGGAGCTATATTGACTCAAATTGATAAGAACATAAATCAAAGTAGATTCATTCATTATAAATAGAAGAAATTAAATGAAGTACAACAAAGATGGAGTACAGTTGAAATAAAATTATTTCCTATAGTAGTAGCATGCGAAAAATTCTATTATTATATTAAAGGATCTAAGACCTTAATTAAAACAGATTGTAAAGATATTATTCTAATGGATTCAATTAATACTGGAAAATTATATCGATGGAAGTTATGACTATCTGAATTTAACTTAGAATTTGAACATATTGAAGGAGTTCAAAATAGTTTAGCTGATTGGATCATTAGATCAATAGGAGATGAAACATATCTTACTAATTACATGATCTTATATTGTAGTAAACCTCAAGAATTATATGAAGATTTATATGTTATACCTTCCTGCGAGGAAATAGCAAATGAAGCCAGAAAAGATAAAGTTAACATACCAATAGACGTAGTATGGAAGAATGATTTCCCAGTTCACTATAGAACAGGAGGATTATATATATTAGAAAAATAAAGAAATCATTTAATGTATTAATTTCATAGTAGTAAATTCGCAGGACATTGTGGAGTAAATAAAACACTAAAGAAAATACAAAAACATTTTTGGTGGCCCAATATTAGTAAAGATATTGAAGAATACGTTACAAATTTTTTAGTTTGTCAAGTAATGCCTAATTGGCAATTTAAACTCAATAGTAATCAAGCTTTATCAAAACCGAATGTATTTGATATGGTTTCACTAGATATTATAGTACCTAAAACATGGAAAGGTACAGAATACTATATTCAAGTAGCAATAGATCATCATTCACGTTTTATGGTTACTAATATAACTAATAAAACACCTAATGCTATGGACGCAATTAACATTATAAAGAAAACATGGATACCCATATTTGGATGCCCTTCGAGCATCTTAACAGATCGCGGTTCAATTTATACTAGTCAAGAATTTCATGACTATGTTACAAAAGAAATAAAGGTTAAATTATATCATACTAGCGCATATTATCCACAAGGAAACGGTATAAATGAAAGCTCTCATAAAAGCTTAGATTATATCATTAAGACTTTATATGAAGAAAAAGATCTACCTTTTGAAGAAATAGTACAAAATGCAATACTAATATATAATAATACACCTCATGGAGCTGTAGGAGAAACACCCTATTTTGCTATGTTTGGAATATATTGTATCTGTCCATGGTTTGCAAAATTAGTACGAGAAACAACTTCTGAAATGAGGATTATATACTTAAACGATCGATGAAAAAACATACATGAAGATGTTAATGAAATCAAAAGAAAACCTATAATTGAGAATAAAAATATTAAGGTTCAAGATATTATCTCATACGAATTATCCGAATATGAAAGGAATCAAATGAAACACTATAGTAGAAATATACAATATAAACCATATTGGTCATTTCCTCATAGAGTAACTAAAATTGAAATCAGAATTCCTAAAGCATTACTTATATATTATAGAAGTAAAGAAGTACAAATTCCAATGTCAAAAATAAAATTGTTGAGTAACAAAACCAGGGAGATATATGAAAGGCAACTGCACAACTTAATACAAGTTACTAATAAAAATAATAGGAATTTAAATCTGATGCATGATATAAAGTCTAAAGATTACCTAGATATTCATAAATGGAGTAGTATCATAACGTGTGATATCAAAGATAATCAGGACAAGCAAATTGAAAAAGAAGTACAAAAAGGAATTGATATAATAAAACAATATAAAAACAACATACTTTAAGTAATAACAATTACTTTCCCATGGTGATGGAGTATGGTTAATAAAAGGCTTTACTAAACTTTTTGGAAAATAAAAGGACTAGCTATGTGGAGAATACATAGTTGGTTGTGCTAACTGAAAAAAAAAAAATATATATTTATATTTGTTTTTTGGAAAGAGAAGGATTTATGGAAAGAGAGATTTTTTTTAACAAAAGGTAATAATGTGTTTATAAAAGAGTTTAATTTTCAGAATATTTATATTTTGAATTTGTGAGAGAAAATTTTATACCTGTAACAATAAAATTTTCATGTAATTAATATTCATATAAGTTATTTGCATTTTTACTAATTGTTTACGTTTGTTAATTCAACAGCAATATATTTAAATTGCTGAACATAACTCACAACAAAGAAACAAGTAATATACATTTAATTAATAATCAATATTCAATAAGGATTTAAATTTTTAATAGAAATAAGGATTTATTTATTAAAGTAAAAAAAAGCCTATTGAAATTAAAGAATGATGAATGAAGTATATTACGTAAATAAGGACCACTCATTCAAAACATATAAAATATATATAAATACATCAAAACCGTAGAGGCAACTCTATATACTCTGTATTAATTCGTTTGTTCAGTACTCTAATAAAGTTACCGAACGCCCAGTTAATAAAACATGCACAAATGTATAATAAATAAAAATAAAATTGTTTACTTTAAAATAAATAATCTTAAAAATAAGCACTAAATATATACCGATAACAAGAATTTAATTAATCCATACTCAACAAATAAAGTTACAAAAAATTTAAACCAACAATCTTCTAATAACTAAAAACTTAATAAATTTTTACTCAATAAACATAACCTTCACCCTTTTCCTCACAACTTGCATATTCCAAATAAATTTTCTAAAATTCAACAATAAAATTTTTATAAAATTTATACCATGCCATAATATTCAAATAATTAATTTATCTGTTATCTTCTCTTTTTTTTTAATATACTTATTCAATTCTTAATCATAATGTCAACTTAATAACATAAATGAATAAAAATAAAAAAAATTAAAAAAATGGTAAATAATTATTAAATTTTTAATAATGAAAAACTATAAACATAATCATAAATATTCATAAAAAAATAGGTTTCACCTATAATATTCCTGTGAAAAAAATAATCAACTCCCATAAAAATCATATAAAATGCTAAAAAAAAAATAAACACATTTACTTTGCTCACAGACTTTCTCAGTAAAACATTCATTGTAATTTATCTTGTAAAAACATAAATATAAAAAAAAAAAAAATTGAACAAAATGATTAATTTTATTTTTTTTTTTTTTTTTATCCAGAAAAATTAAGTTTCATAAATTCATCTCACACTTTTCATTCATTTTTTTTTTCAATGTAATGATATCTTGTTTCTAAGAAATTTTTGTTAATAAACTATTGTTATTTTTATTTTCAAAAAACATTATAAGAAATAATTCTAAAAAAAATAATCAAAAAAGAATTTAAATTTTTTTGTATTCATAGTAAAAAATTCTAAAATAATAAAATAATATCTCAAAGAATGACAAGTACACATATATATATATATATATTACCAAATAAAAATTGCTTAATAAAAAAAGAAAAAGATTAATATAGTTATAATGAAAAAATAAGTGCATTACTTATTAACTTTAATTTTGCTTTTTTTTTTTTTTTTATATATATATATATATATTTCTTCAAAAATATAATTAAATTATAATGCACTAATTTGTTAGCAAAAATTTAAATATTAAAGTAAAAAAAAATTGGAATAACTTTCATATGCGTTTAAAGTTTAATAATTTAACAACAAACAATATAGATTTTTATAATCGTAAGTCATTTTTCTATTAAACTTAAAATATTTTTTTTATGAAAATATATATGAATTATTAAAATATTATATTATAACTACCACTTATAGAATTTACATGTATATATATATATATATATTTTTTTTTTTTTTACGTATTTTATATTTTATAAAAATGTTATTTAGATCCTTTATAATAAGAATTATAAGTTATTAAGTACATTATATTATTTGTATATAAGCTATATTTTACTTCTTCAATTATATAAATTTACTATACAAAAAAAAAATGCTGTAAAAATATTATATAATAATTAAATTCTTTATTCAAAATACAAAAATTAAATAATCATGTCATTATTTCAAATTTACATTTATAATCATACGATTATATAAAAAATTTAAGAAAACACAGAAAAAACACTTAAAATAATTTCTTTTATTTATACTAATTTTTTTTTTTAATTATAATTTCATAACCTAAAATGATGTTTCACTATATCAATTATTTTATTTTTTTTTCTCATTTTTAATTTTATAAAATAATCTTTTGTTTTATTAATTATATTTTTTTCTTGTTATTTGAAAACTAATGACATTATTGTTACATGAAATTGAAAATTTAATATTCAACACAAAAAGCAAAGAAAAAATTCCCTTTACTCTAAATTAAAATCTTATACAATATGAAATGCCAATTTCAAATATAAACAAATTTATAATATAGTTATCACATAAGTACAAATATTGTCATTTCTATGTAGAAATTATAATAATTTCCCAATTTAATTCAAGCGTATAATGATGCTCAAAAATAACAGAAATATCTATATTCAATTTTTTGGTCAAATTAAATTATTTTTTTTCCTTAATTGGATTAACGAATATTTTTTTAACGTTTCATAAATTTAAAGTATAAAATACATACATACATATTACTTTTTGGTTATCTTGAAATTTATAAATTTATCTATAATTCACATAAAAATTTCTTTTCTTTAATAAATCAATTTTTGGATACTACTTCAAAATATTTTGAGAAAGCCTTTTATGATGATATTACAATCATGAGAAAAAAATCCATCCTAAAGAAGGCAAGATATTTATCACAAGCAGAAGAAACATCCTGTATATTAGATGAACAAAATGGTAAAACAAAAGAAAATGAAGATAACTCCCCTAGTGAAACAAGTAAGCTCAAAACAGAAATTGAATCATTTATGGATGATACTGGTAATGAACTTCGATTTTATCTTGAAGACAATAATATTACGAATGACACAGAAAAATGTAAAAAGGCATCCTCATACATAAATTGGAGAGGAATGGACTATGTTAATTTGCTATTAAGTGAAAAAGAAAAATATAATATCTCATGTCTTGTTGAAAAATGGAATGAGAAACAAAAATCTTTTCAAACAAGTATAGATGAAAAAATGAAATCAACGTGTAGTACAACAACGTTTGATTATTGTGCTATTTTGAATAAAAATGATAAATGCACTAGACCTTATGAATATAATGATCTACCAGTACCCACATCATTAACATACGCACAACTCAATGATGATAGTTATAGTACTAATAAAACTCAAATTATTGAAGACAGACGGTTAAGTTTTTTCAATATTACTAATGATATGTCTAATTACCATTACAGGGTTTACGAGAAAGATAGATCTGAACGTAATTGCGGGAAATGGAGCATGTATATATATAAGAGAGGAAAACAATTTGTTAATATGGCGGAAAATGAATTATATGAAAATCAATTATATATAAATGATTCTATTAGAATATGGAATGATCATAGTAATACATTGCAAAATATTGAATTAAGAGACACTGGTATTCAATGTAATATGACAACATTAATTCATCAAATTAAAGAGAGACAAAATACAGCTGACCCATATAATTTAGATTGGCTTTCTTCAAATAGCACTCAAAATGAATCTAATGAAACTTCAAATAATACAACTACATCACCAGATAACTTAAAATCTACAAATGTAACTCCTAATGTATTGCATAATGATACTACTACAGGTTCATTGGGTAGCAATAGGACTAGTGTTAATAACGTAAATGATGTGAATTCCTTTGAAAATACATTCACAAGCGCCACTTCAATACCATCAGTGACTACAGATCAAACTTCCCCAGAAACTAAAACCACAATTTCTCCAGAACACTCAACACAATCCAATTCTTTAACTCCAAGTGATACAATAGATTCTAATACTAATACTATATCTGACGCAACCTCATCTTCAGTATCCCCTGAGATTGTAATATCTCCTACAACTAAATTATTACCTTTAGATTCTACTATTAGTGGCACACCTACAGTTACATCTTACCCTGAAGAAATATCTTCTACAGCTACCACTGAATATTCTATTACTAACGTTGAATCATTTACAAATAATATTGCACCTTCTACTACTATCACTCCACCTCCTATAACAGCATCTTTACCTTCTAAAACTGTATCTTCTGAATATAAAACATTTACAGATGACAATAAATCTTCTACAAATAAAATTACACCTCCTACAATTTCACCATCTTCTTCTGAGGTTATACCTTCACATTCATCTATAACTACAACATCTATAGATGAATTTACGCGATCATTACTTTCACCTACTCCTATAGTTAAATCTTCTATAAATGATTATACAACTTCAATATCCAACACTACAGATAATTCAATTGATACTGAATTTCCTACAAATAGCATTACACCTTCTAAAACATACGAGGCATCTGCTAAAACTGCATCTTTATCTCCTGAAACTACAGCTACTGTAAATGAAATTATATCTGCAAATGTTGCTGCATCTCCTACAATTGATCCTGTTTCTTCTCCTGGTATTGAACCTTCTCTTACATCTATGACTACAACTCCTACAGATAGTTCTACACCTCCACTATCTTCATCTACTCCTATTATCACCACTTTGCCTTTCACATATAATTCTGCATCTCCAACAGATTACACAGAACGTTCTACATCTATAATTGACACTACATATTCTTTAACTGATATTGAATCTTCTACTAGCAATACTACAAATTCTGCAGCTACTTCTTTTTTCCATGAGATTGCACCTTCTGCAACATCTTCAATTTCCTCTAAAACTATATCTTTTATTAATCACGATTCTCCTATAAGTGATAATGCCTCTACAATCAATTATGCACCCATAAATAATCCTGAAACTTCTATATTTAAACCTGAATCCTCTATACCTGGTGTTGTTAATCCCACAATTATAACTGAATCTTTTACAGATGGATCTATACTTCCTACTACTGTAGATATTCATATTACTGCAACATCACCTTTAACAGATAGTTCTACACCTTTTTCGACAAATAACGAAAATACTATTACTACCAATGAACTTTCTACAAGCAGAATTACATCTTCTACGAATGGCACTACAGCTCCTACATCTGATTTTATATCTCCAACTCCACTTTCGTATTCCCCTGATAAAACATCCATTCTCACAACTACGACTGCATATATTCCTACAACAAATAATGATTTACCCTCACTTCAGACAGATGGTATCCAACTGCAGATACCACCAAATACACATGCCCCTCTTAAACAGGCTCAACAATACTCATATGGAAGAAATAGTACTGAAAATATTTCACTAAGTCCAAGTGCGACTATTCCAAATATTTTGACGCCAATCCCATCAAGTGACCCTAATGAAGTTATGCCTACGGTTACACCTAAAGGTGATTTATTAATACCAATGGTTTCAGGAGGTATTTTTCTTTTAGGAATTATTTTTTTTTTGATTCTTCTTTGTAAAGTAAGATAAAATTAACATTTAAAAGGGAAATAACTTATATATTTAAAATCATAATTACATTCATGATGAATTTTTATAATTTTTTATTTTTTAATTTGAATTATAGTATACTCCCATTGGATCTTGGATTCGTAATAGGAAATCAAAGAAAAAAAAAGCAAGAAAAAAGATTAAGAAAATAACAAGGGAACCGTTGCTAATGGATACAAATAATACAAAGAATGAATCAATAAATAGAGAAAATTATTCATTCTTACACTATGAAAAAGAAATACCACTATGTGATATGAGTTTGAAAAATCGAAAAGATTTGAAGTATAAACAAGTGAAGAAATCCAAAGCACATAAAGGAATGCATATGGAAAATGAAAAAGATTTGAAGTATAAACATGTGAAAAAATCCAAAGAACATGACGGAACGTATATGGAAAATAAAGAAGATTTGAATTATGAACAAATAAAGAAATCCAAAGAACATAAAGGAATACATATGGAAAATGAAAAAGATTTGATGTATGAACAAATGATAAAATCCAAAGAACATAAAGGAATATATATGGAAAATGAAAAAGATTTGAAGTATGAACAAATGAAGAAATCCAAAGCATATGAAGGAATGTATATGGAAAATGAAAATAAATGCATTAGTGAATTTGAAGAAGTATCAAAGAAGCATGAAAATGAATTCATATTGGGAGAAAAATTAAATGAATATAATCCTAGAAATGAAATTGAAGAAATTGAATTGAATGTAAATAAATCCAGAAATAAAATCAAAGAAGAAAAATTGAATGAAAATAGATTAGGAATAAATACATCTCATATTGTAGAGTATATTATGGAAGATACCTTAAATGAAGAAGAGACAAATGAAATAAATATAATACAAGAAAAATATGAATGTGAAAATGAAATGATAAATTTAGAAAATAAAAGATCAATTAATGAAGTACATAGTTGGAATACATGGATAGATGTACATATGATAGCATTACAAGAGTATAAAAAAGAGGAATGGAAATTGAATAAAGCCGAATTTTTTAAAATTTGTTTAGAAGAGATCCAAAAAGATGGAAAAAATTATAATTTAAAAGATATGGGAAATAATTTTATAATGAAAATAAAAGAAGAAAATAGTACCAATACAATAGATAAAAAAAGTAGTATATTAATGAAATATAAAAATGAAAAATGGTTTATTAATTTGAAGAAAGAATGGAAAGAAGAACAAGAAAAATATTTAGGATATTTAGAAGAACAAGAAATTGAAAAAATGACAGAAATGGGAGTAAATAATATTATTCTAGATAAAAAAAAAAAAATATGGAAGAAATGGATAGAATGGCAAATAGAGCATTCACACAAATACAAAAATCAGAATTGGTTTATAAAATTGTTAGAAGAATATGAAAAAGAAGATATTCATGAAAATATAAAGGAAGAAAAAATAGAGAATAAAGGAAATAATGGAATAGATGAATGTGAAATGAAGAAAAATTTGGAAAGTAGAATTTTGTTAGATATTTATATGATGGTATTAGAGGAATCTACAAAAGAAGAGTGGGAAAAAGAAGAAGAATTTTTTAAAGCAAATATGGAAGAGATGAAAAAATATAAAAATTTCGACGAACAAACAAACATATTAGATAAAATAGAAAGAGAAAGAAGTTGGAATGTTATATCAGAGAAAAAAAAAGAGGAAATAGAAAAATGGAAAAAAGAAAAATGGTTTGTTGAGTTAATGTTAGAATGGAAAAATAAAGAAGAAGAATATATGATGGAGACAAATGAAGAAATTTTAGCAAAAAAGAATCAAGGAAGATTAATAGACGTTATCTTAGAAAGACAAAGCAGTATATGGAAAAAACACTGCGAAAATATTTGTAAAAAGTGGATAGATGAAGACAACAATGAAGAATGGTTTACAAAGTTAGTTAATGAATATGAAAATGAAGAGAAAGAATATAAAAGTAGTATTTATAAAAATAGTATAGAAAAAGAAAATGAAAAATCCATGGAAAGAGGTGAATCAATAACAGAGGTTAATAAAAAGGGAGATGAAAAAATGAGAAAGTATGAAAGAAATCATTTAGAGGAATCACATGAAAATAATAATTCTATAATAGGCAAAAAAAAATTAAAATGGCAGACTTTAATAGAAATATACATGGTAATACTGGAGGAATGTAGAAAAGAGGAGTGGTTATTGAATAGAGGAAAATTTTTAGAAGTCTGCTTAGAAGAATTTATAAATGAAGATAAAGAAGAATATTCGAAAATAACAGAAAATGATTTAGCCATCATGAGAGAAGGGGAAGAAGACATTAGTACATTGATGATTGAGAAACAAAAACTTCTATGGAAAATATGGGTAGAAAGAAACAAAAGAATGTTAGAGAAATGGAAAAATGAAGAATGGTTCATTAATTTGAAAAATGAATGGAGAAAAGAACAAGAAAGATATGAGGAATTGACAGATGAATTAGAAATTGTAGAAATAGAAGCAGGAAAAAATCCTATGCTAGAGAAACAAAAAAAAATATGGAAACAATGGCTAAAAAAACAAAGAATGTGGTTTATAGAACATAGCGAAGAGGAATGGTTTAATGATTTATTAGACGAATGTGAAAAGGAAGAAGAAGGTATGGAAGGAATATCTAAAAGAGATACGAGAAATGTGAAGGAAATTCATGAAAATATAGAAGGATTGAAACAGGAAGGAAATAAAGAAATAATGAAATATGGAAAGAATGAAAAATTGATACAAAAAGTTTTGATAGAAATACATATGATGCTATTAGAAGAATATATTAAAGAAGAATGGCAAAAAGAAAAAGAACATTTTTTTAAAAAAATGATTGAAGAGTTGAGAATACAACAAAATTTAGGTGAGGATGTTAACATATTAGAAAAAAAAAAAAAAAAAAGTAAGAATGTTATACTAGAGAATCAAAAAGTGGAAATAGATAGATGGAAGAAAAAAAAATGGTTTATAGAGTTAATGTTGGAAATGAAAAACAAAGAAAAAAACTACATAAAAGAAATATATGAAGATATGATAACAAAAAAGAATGAGGATAAAATTAGAAATCCCATGTTAGAAAGGCAAAAAATTATATGGAAAAAACACTGCGAAGATATTCATAATAAGTGGATAGAAAAAAATAGTAAAAAATTTTTACAACAATAATTTATTAACAAAAAAATGAAGATAATGAATGAAAAAGCAAAATTTATAAATAGAGTATAGAAGAGAAAAATAGATGTGAAGAAACGGGAAAAATACCTAAGACAATAGAAAAAAATTTAGAATTGATAAATGGAATTATTAAACTTTTTAAATATTTCTTAGGAAATAAACTTAAACATTGCTAGATGCTTAGTTATTGATTGCTTAATTTACCCATTCAATGATTTCATTAGAATATTGATTTATTAATTTATTAATTTATTGTATTATAATTTTGCTATATTGTACAAGCAAATTAAATGAAGATTGTTTAGAGATAACCACAGTTATTTTATTTAGAATAAAATAAATCATTACATAAATCAATTATTCTTATTACTAATATTAAATTTTAACTCTATTACTTATTGTTTTAGCTAATTTATGCAATGTAAACGTAATATTTAACATTATATTTCTAAATTTGTCATACAAAAAAGGATAATACCCATTGCATCATAAAAAAAAAAAAAATGATTATTTTTATTTTTAAGATGACACTTTTTTTTTCTGTTAATAAAAAAAAATAAAATTATTAGCATTTATTTTTTACTAAAATTTTCTAAGTCGTCATAATATAAAATCCAAAAAAAAATAAAACATTTTTTTTATAATTTTAAATAGATACAATAAAAAAAAAATAAATGAAATATATTTCTTTTTTTTTTTTTTAATGTAATAACTTTTTAATTTTCTTTTCAATGATATTATGATTTATTAATTTGTTATTTAATTAATTTTATAGTGCTTTAAATAGTCAAATTAATAGAGAGCATGTAAAATGATATTTATTTATTCTTTTTAATATAAAATTAGCCTATGTATATAATTATGTACTTATTATACATGTATCAATTCATAATAATCTTAACAAATTTATTATTAAATTAGTGCTATTTGACATACTTAGTAGTTTTTCATATGAAATATAAAAATTATCATATTTACTCATCTCCAAAAAAAATAAATAAAAAAAAAACATTCTTTTTTTTTTAAAAATAGATATGCCTATATAATGTTTTTTTATAGGCATATTACTAATATAAAATATTTTATACAAACATAGTTCCACTAAATCTATGGAGGTATTCTTCTAAACATAAACTATTTTGTATTTTATTTATATACTTGCAAAAATTATTATTAGCGTTTCTATGTATATATCTCTTTATATACTTTTTAATTATCCTGCATGTAACTACATTGCTCTAAAATGAACTTCTATCATTCTGTAAATTATTAAAAAGGTAAATGAAGTCTTTATTAATCATATTGCTAGTAATGAACAAACAGATTAATAAAAAACATATAGAGAAAACTCCACTTCTTTCATTCATGATAAAATAATTTATTATACAAGTTGTTTAGTTTTTCCAATAAATGTCAAATGTGAATCACAATAGTTATGGAGTTAATTTACACAACCCACTATAAAATATAATATGAACATCACATTTTTAATCCTTACACATAAAAAATTATACTTTATATCATCAACAAAAAAATAAATGATTATCCTTAAGATTACAGTTTTTTTTTTTAAATTTCTTTTTCATGTCATTGATTTATTAATTAACAATCCAATGTTATTGCTATTATCTAACAAACAAATTAATAAAGATTATGTAAAGAAAATTTTACATATTTTAATTTTTTTTAAATTAAGATATAAATTAAATTATTCATTTTTATTAATTAATATAATATATTAATTATGTTAGTTAATTAATATTGTTTTTAATTTACATAACATCCCATGTGTACTACATTTTACATTATATTTTTAATCTTTCTAAAAAAAAAATAATACAATGCATCTTTCTCCTCAAAAGATAAAAAAATATATTTACTTAAAATGTCATATTTTTTTTTAAAAAAATTAATGATGTTTTTTTAAGTTATCATCATTAAAAAAAAAAAAAAGGTATTTTCTTATGTAATTATAAGTACACAAGAAAAATATTATAGAAATACTTTTATTTTTTTTTTTTTTTTTTGGTATACACATTTATATGTTCACATTTTCCACATATTTTACAATTCTCTAAATAAAATGTTTTTACTCATTTTATTTTATTAAATATTATTTAAAACAGGTTCATAATATTATTTATAGATTGCATGTTATTTATTAATTTTTTTGTATAATACTGGTAAGGTCATCGAACAGGCGATTATTAAATCTTATTTGTTCGTATTTATTTTTAAAATGTAATCAATAACTAATACATGTACATTTTTTAGTATCTTGAAATGTTTGAATATCCTTCAATTATATACATGAAGATATCTTTAATTACTATTTATAACTATGTGAGACCAATTTTTAATGTAAACGGTAATATATTAAATACAAATTTTTCATGTTTGAGTACTATAAATTCTGTATGTTGATTACTATTTTCATCTAATTCTACGTTCTAAAATACTTTCTTAAGATCTATCTTTGAAAACCGTTTAATACCATAAAATATCCATAATGTATCTTTCATATTAGGTAAAATATATAAATTATTCAACACATAACTCTTTAAATACAAATAATCTATAATAATTGACAATCTACCATCCTTTTTACGAACTAATACCATAGGTAAAGCCTATCTTTAAATATTGGTATATAAATAATATGTTAAACATATTTTTATTAATATTTAAATAAATAAATATGGTTATTTTTATTTTTTTATGTTAAAATAAGCGTAGAATATACATGCAAAAATTCATACATTAAGAAATAATAAATACACAAAAATAAGTATACTAAAAAAAAAAAATACTCAATCTAAAAATAAATACATTAAGCAAAAAAAAAATTCAAATATATTTTATTATATTTTTTTTTTTCTTTTTGTATACATACAATAATATATAAAAAAAAATAATTATTATGATATAACCGTTTTATTTTTTTTTTATTCCTTTTAAAAAAAAAAAAAATTATTTAATTTTTTTTTGGTAGTAATAATTATGCGAAGTATTTTCTTCTTTTTTTTGAAATATTAAAAGTATTATGCCAAATATGATACATCTAATATATTTTGAAAATTAACTAAAATAGTTACTAATGTTATTAATATTTTATATTAACAAATGTATATAATTTGTTTAATATTTTATTATAATTAAAACAAAATAAGTGAATCTTTATATATATTCCATTTATTAATTTTTTTTTTCAATACTAATAAAGGCATTGAATATTTAATAAATTTATTGGAAACTATATATTTTACATACAATTTTTAATTTTTATACTTAAAAATTTGAATATTTATCTTTATTAACCATTGATATTAAAATAAGTAGATTAATTTTACAATGAATAAATAGATTTATATAAGGTATACATTTATCTATGTGTGAATCTGTTTATTTTTAAAATAGATAATAACACAAAAATATATATAATTATTTAAGTATGTATTTTTCGTAAACAAAAATCTTATAATATTATTTTTGAATAGATAGTTTATTAATAATATTATAGATTTGTTTTAAATGATATTTAAATGAATGAAATAATTAAAGACATCTTTATTCGTGCATTCTAAATATGTGAGAAAAGCAAGAGCATCTAAACACATACACAAGAAGATGTACAACAAAAAAAAAAACATTTACTAAAGGTATGTGCACTAAAAGTAAAATATATAATATTATATTAAATTTTTTTTTCCTTTTATAGTTCAAACTCAAAGAAGAAAATAATGATGTTTTTTTTTGTTTTTCAAAAAAAGAAATAATTTTTTCTATTCTTGAAAGTATCATGTGTATTATTTTTTTTATTGTTCAAAAGATTTAGTGTAATGTTAAATACAATATTTGTAATGTATTATATAGATTAACATAAATAATTAATAAGAAATAGAATTAAAATTTAATATTAATACATAAAAAATATATAATTTATGGAAAATTTATTTTATTTTAAATAAAATTAGTATAGTTTTTCTTATGTTCTTTTTGTTTACCTGTTTTTTCTATACTAGCAGAATTATTAAACGGAAAACTAATAAATCACATGATTAACTGTATACTTTTCATGCAGCTATTAATTTTTATTCACAAAAAGTTTCATATTTCCTTTTATTAATCAATGTCTTATATAAGAAAAAGCATGCAAATTTCCTATTTTCCTATTTTAATATTGATAACCTATAATAATTCTCAATATATTATCTTTTATTAACCATTATCACAGTGCTTTATTATCTGACTGTCACATGACTTTGTTAGATTACTAAATAAAGTATTATTAAAAAGCATTTAGAGTTACCTCTACCAATTTAATGAATTTATGTCTAATTTGAAATATTAAAAAAAAGTAAACTATATTTATGTAGTACAATTTTTTTTTAAAAAATTTCATTTTAACATTGTGCATAAATTATTATAATGAAAAGAATATAGTTTATTCAATTTTATATAGTATTCTTAATGTAGGGAAATTATAAATTAATTTTATTTAAATGCTTTCTTTTTAGTGTTATGAATTAATTGCCACAAAAAAAGTGCATAATTTATATCAGTTTTACTTGATATCTGTAACAAAAAAATTGTAAAATTTTTTTAAAGGTTGTCTTTTCAATATAGTATACAAATTAAATTAGGAAAAGTACATAGCTTATTTAATTATTTTAATTCATTATATATTATAAGAAAAATTTGAATTAATTCTTTTTTTATTTTTTCAGGGAATATGAACATTAAAAGAAATATTAAATAAAAAGTTTATTTTTATTTTTTATTTAATGAAATCTTAATTATTTTTATTCAATAAAAATTATTCATATATAACTGCTTTAATTTTGCATTAGCTTTTTTAATACATTAGCAATTATTGCATCAAAAAATTTACATACATTTTCTTTTTAGAATGCCATCATTTTTATATAATATAATGTATTATATTTTATTTAATAAATTATTTTATTTAAATAAAATAAAATTCCTCTGTT